ATCAACAAGCTCAGCAGCTCAGTGCTTTAACCCACTGCGCCACCGGGGGCTCCTGTATTATTATAATAGATTATATTGTATTATTGTATAGTGTACATATATTATATATATTAATGTATATTATATTAGTATTATATATTGTATTATTTTAATAGATTATATATTATTATGATATAGTATACATATGTTATATATATTAATGTATATTATATTAGTATTATATATTGTATTATAATAGATTATATTGTATTATGATATGTTGTTGTTCATTCGTTCAGTCGTCTCCGACTCTTTGTGACCTCATGGACCAGCCCACGCCAGAGCTCCCTGTTGGCCGTCAACACCCCCAGCTCCTTCAAGGGGGTATTATGATATAGTGTACATATATTATATATATTAATGTATCTTATATTGCCATTATATATTATATGATGCTATAGTATTATATCATAATATTGTATTATTACTGTTATATAGATGAATATACATTATTTAATATATTAAATATATATCATTTTAAATTTAGAGAATAGATAATTCAAAGACACACATATATTCCATTCAGGCGGTCTAGATAGCCAGCCCCAAGATGTGTCCTGATTGGCTGAGGGCAGCGCGGGGTCCTTCCTCGGCTTCCTTCCTTCCTGTCTGTGCCGGAAGTCCTTGCTGCTGCGGCTGTCATGGCGTCTCCCGGGCGGCTTCCCCTGTGGGCTTCCCTCTGGGCGGCCTTCCTCCTCCTCCTCCCTTCCGGAGCCGTCTACGAGGACCAAGTGGGCAAATTCGACTGGTGAGAGCGGGGCTTGGGAAGGGGCCTCTCTCTGGCTAGGCCTCGCCCTCCTTCCTTCCTTCCCTCCTTCCTTCCTTCCTTCCAGGGAAGAAGGCAGAAGACTCGAGAGCAGGCCTGGGCCTTCCTCCCCAACTCCCTCCATTGCTCACAGCCTTTCCCATTGCATTGTATCTTCCTTTTGCCAAATGGATTCATTCTAACTAGATTTTATTCCCAAACGATCAATCAATCAATCAATCAATAAGAACAATGGCTTTCAAAGCCAGTTTAGTCCTTAAATATTAAATAATAGTAATTATTATTATTATTATTATTATTATTATTATTATTATATTTCCCAATTAAGCTTGGGGACATTGAGAAAGGCATTGTTTGTCTGTGCTCCAAGTTGACTCCATTGGGTGCAGGTGAACTATAGCTCTCATCTGCAGGTCCCATCGTCCATGTTCTATCTTCCTCTAAGCCACACCAAAATGTAAAATGGGCCATGGGGGCTCTGTGTGCCAAGTTTGGTCTTGATCAGTCATTGGTGTGGGTTGCAGTGGGCTCAGGAAGTGAGTGAAGGTACTTGTGCGCCACTTGCGTCCGTACCTTGGGAAGTCTGATCTGGCCACAGTGCTCCACGCTCTTGTTACATCCTGAATAGATTACTGCAATGCGCTCTACGTAGGGTTGCCTTTGAAGACTGTTCAGAAACTTCAATTAGTCCAGCGGGCAGCAGCCAGATTACTCACCAGAGTCCATGTTCAACATCTACACAAATGACCAGCCACTGCCAGAAGGGACAGAGAGTTTCATCTATGCTGATGATCGTGCCATCACTGCTCAAGCAGGGAGCTTTGAGATGGTAGAACAGAAGCTCTCCGAAGCTCTAGGTGCTCTTACTGCCTATTACAGGGAAAACCAGCTGACCCCTAACCCATCTAAAACACAGACATGTGCTTTCACCTTAAGAACAGACAAGCATCCCGAGCTCTGAGGATTACCTGGGAAGGAATCCCACTGGAGCATTGCAACACACCCAAATACCTGGGAGTCACTTTGGACCATGCTCTGACCTACAAGAAGCACTGCCTGAACATCAAGCAAAAAGTGGGCGCTAGAAACAACATCATACGAAAGCTGACTGGCACAACCTGGGGATCACAACCAGACACAGTGAAGACATCTGCCCTTGTGCTATGCTACTCTGCTGCTGAGTATGCATGCCCAGTGTGGAACACATCTCACCACACGAAAACAGTGGATGTGGCTCTCAATGAGACATGCCGCATTATCACGGTGTCTGCGCACTACACCACTGGAGAAATTGCACCACCTGACATCCGCCGGGAAGTAGCAGCCAATAGTGAAAGGACCAAGGCAGAGACATCTCCAGCTCATTCTCTGTTTGGGTATCAGCCAGCACGTCAACGACATAAATCAAGACATAGTTTTCTTAGATCTACAGAGACACTCGCTGGAACACCCCAGCAAGCGAGAGTCCAAAAGTGGCAGGCCCAAACCCAGCACCTCAATCCGTGGGTGATACCAAATGAGAGACTCCCCCCTGGGCACACAGAAGACTGGGCGACTTGGAAGGCACTGAACAGACTGCGCTCTGGCACCACGAGATGCAGAGCCAACCTTCAGAAATGGGGCCACAAAGTGGAGTCCACGACATGCGAGTGCGGAGAAGAGCAAACCACTGACCACCTGCTGCAATGCACCCTGAGCCCTGCCACATGCACAATGGAGGACCTCCTTGCGGCAACACCAGAGGCACTCCAAGTGGCCAGATACTGGTCAAAGGACATTTAACCAAATACCAAATTTGCAAAATCTGTGTGTTTTTTCTTCTTTTTCTTTTTAATCTGTGTGTTTGTTTTGCTCTGTTAGAATTGTAATACAATGGTATGGTTGCTGATGACACGATAAATAAATAAATCAGATCAATAAGAACAATGGCATTCAAGGCCAGTTTAGTCCTTATATATTAAATTATTATTAAATCATCATTATTATTATTATTATTATTATTATTATTATTATTATTATTATTATATATTTCCCTGTATTGTCGAAGGCTTTCATGGCCAGAATAATTGGGTTGTTGTAGATTTTTTCGGGCTATGTGGCCACGTTCTAGAGGCATTCTCTCCTGACATTTTGCCTGCATCTGTGGCAAGCATCCTCAGAGGTCGTGAGGTCTGTTGGAACTAGGAAAGTGGGTTTATATATCTGTGGAATGACCAGGGTGGGACAAAGAACTCTTGTCTATTGGAGCTAGGTGTGAATGTTTCAACTGACCACTTTGATTCGCATTTGATGGCCTGGCAGTGCCTGGGGCAATCTTTTGTTGAGAGGTGATTAGATGCCCCTGATTGTTTTCCCTCTGCTGTCTTGCTGTTGTAATTTTAGAGTGTTTTTAAATACTGGTA